AACGGCTCCCGGGGATGGCAAGCCGCGGGCGGGCGGCACCGAGGACTCGGGAAAAGCTCAGCGTGCAGGCGAAAGAAACATGGCGCTGGGAAGCAGTATGTGCAAAATCCGCAAGGAATTGCAGTAAATTCCTTTTTGTTTGAAGAAAATTTACAACTTGGTAATAGACCTTTTTATGACCTATTTGGGCTCGTCATTGGCTGCGGCTGGTCATGTGAGAGAAACATGCCTTCAGTGAAGAAAAAATTCTGTACTCTTTATTGGGTAAAGAATTTCCCTCCATTACAATGAAAAGAACCAGGAAGGTCTTGAGGTCGTCAGGCCACTGCAGTATGTTTCACAGAATAAGAGCAAGATCTTGAAATGGCTCTGTTTCTGTGTTCATCAGCCATGAAACGGTGTGTGAGAGGGAGAGGGGACCAAATAGTTTTTTGAAGACATAGCCCTGCTGACTAGTATTGTAATGAAATGTAACTGTATATTTCCCCACAGGGTTGGTAACTGAAAGACAGTCCAGTCTGGGATTTTTAAACATGATATTCAAATATGACTTTCATATTATATTTAGTATGTCTTCCCATTTACAGCTATAAAGTCCAGACTCATTTTCCACTTGGGTTTTACTTAACAAACTGTTCTTGTGTGTTTTTCACTCTGTTTTTAGGTTGTTGGAACTAATTCTTCCCTGAATTTCCAGTAATATCAACCTGTCAAAAAGGTATTGTTATACATGAGGGACCTGGCTGAAATGTCTGGGTTTAATTTCAGCTGGTTTAATTTGCATTGAGCATTATGACAGTTAAGTGCTACCTCACCCTCTTTAAACGCACATACACACACATATTCACACACACACACACACACACGTATTCCTACCCATGATACCAAAATACTGAATTTGGTTATTAGATGTGGGGTTGTACACTTTAATGTCAGGCTCACATCAGAAAATTACAATCTTCCAGATGTTCATATACAAACCAAGGAGGTGGCTGTGACGATGAAGTTTTATCCTGGTCCCACTGAAGTCACCTGGAAATTTGCCACAAGCATAATCAGTAGTGTTAGACCCCTGGTAAGCAAGGTCAGATCAACGTGAATGCATAATAATGTTAATTATAAGAATTAAAATTCAGACCAGTGTTCAGTGATTCAGCAACAAAAGCAACAGGTAATCCAAGATTTCACTTTCCCAGGGAAATAAAATATTTTTCCTGGCCTTACATGATTTTCTTGCACACTTGAGTGCTCCACCCCCCCACCCGCACCCCCGCTTTATTTTGAAATACGTAGAGGATACAGAACAGCCACTTAAACTATATCTGCGTTGTCTGTATGTGTGTGTATATATCCATAACTGTATTAGCTATATACGCGTCTATAGGCACCTACACTTACTTCTCTCTGTAGAACATATGTTATTTGGAAGTATATTATTCTGAACGCGTATATACATTTGGAAGTATCATATTCTGAACGTGTATCTATTTCGCCCGTCTCCCCTTCGTTTCCAAAAGACTAATACCCGGTGGAAAACCCGCTGCCCGGTGCTTAGAGCTCACACCGTCGGCCGGTGGTGGAAACGCACCGTGCCGCTGCACTGCGGGAATTTACCGAATCGCCTATTACCCTCAAAAGCAGCTGCTGATTTCAGGGTAAAGCAAGCTGCCT